AAAATGTGTGAATTTTATTGAATTTCTTTTTCTTTATATTTTTAACAATTTGTAAGACTGTTAGTAAAATTCAACGCGAGTACTTCAACAGACAAGCCTTTTTACAGAAGTTCACGGAGAGGGATTTACTCGTCCCATACTCGAGATTAGTGAAATTTAAAGAATAGCGAAAGAGAGAATATTTTACTTGGATAACCAATAAAATCTTTTAATTTAGGTTCAAGTTGTTGAAACCAATTTTGATGGAACTTCCATCAACATGGATCATTTGACAGCTCATGTTGAAATTTTTCAATTTTATTATTTAAAAAATATATCTAACGTTAATTGGAAGAGTGAGTGCAAGCAGTTAGATGTTAACTTATTGTTTTATAAAGAGCATAATTATTCCTTTTTTATCCATTTAATGCACATTAAAGCAGTTGATAAGAATATTTAACAACGTCATTTATAAATTAAAACAAAAAAATTTGAGATTAATCTCTGAATTGGAACAAGAAATGAAAGCAGGAATTTTCAAAAGGATTACTTTTATTAAAATTTAAAGAAAGGATTGTGGCAATGTTGTTATATTTAATCTTATTCCGCACTCGGGAATTATTGTGTTTTTTGAGCAAGTGTCAGAAGATAAATTTGCAATTGTTATGATAAAAAATACGAACTAGGTACATTGTATTTAGCTCATTGTGAATGTTCATTATACATTTTAATTGATTATTGAGTGATAATTTAGTGAAGAGAAATGAAAATCTTTTGAAAGAATTAAATTAGAAAGCTGAAAAGTTCACTTCATGTTCATTCCATTTTCTCCATAAAGGATTAAAAATGTTTTGCAACTTAAGATCGTTAACTTGTTGACTTATGTTTAACATTGTATGTAAGCTTTAATGAATTTAAGTTGTTGTCTTGGGAAATTGCCATTTATAAGTACATTTGGCATTGTGACATTTGAATGGTTTTTCGCTTTTTCATTTATTTACAGTACGTCAACCCCATTTACAAACTTAGCTTTATTAAACGATGTTGAAAATATCTTGAGTTTCTTTCCATTGTTTATAATGATCACTATATTGGGTTTCAAATGTGGAAATGCTACTCAAAAGGTTTCAAAATAATAATCTCATGTAGCATTATTTAATGAAAGTGAATGATTTAATTGTAAGTTTCTTATTATATTTAAGGCTAAAGAAATATGCATCTGGTATAATTTCATTGTTATTAACAGTTCAATGTGCTACAAAGTAAGGAAATATTTGGTTATTAAGATTAATTTGATTTTTTAACTTGCAAGCTTATCTCTATAATTATCACGTTTCTTGTCGTATTAATCCAATTTCGAGAGTTTTATGAGACAAAAAATTGAATTTAAATGATTTTCCAAAATCATGTCGTTGGACTAGACGGAAATCACTTTTTTTATTATAATTTTATGATTTCCTAATAAATTATAGAAGAAAAAATGATATATAAAAATTTGTGTCTGAATAAAATAGAGTTCACTGTACTTATCAGAATGCCTAAAAAAGCTTATCTATCTACAATGTGTTAATTCCTTTTTTTATTTATGAGCTATTCAATGAGTTTCTAAAAATTTTAAAATTTAGTTTTCTTGATATCATTTTCAAGGCACGTGACAATATTAACGAAGGCAGTTTAAGTATTTTACACGTTTACTCACCGTATCTAAATTGCTAGAGGTACCGAGAGCTTTATTAACATTAAACCGGCGCCATTTCTTGTACTCTGCTGTAATAACTTTCCATTTACGCTTCCAGTACTTTCCTTCTAAAATTATGGCCTAGAAAATATAAAGTGAAAAAAATAAATACTCACATTGGTACTTTAATAAAATGGACAATATACCTGAGGTGTGTTATGAATATCTACGTCTAATGGTGATGCAAATTGACACACAAGTGGGCGCTTTTTCATGATAACTGTATAAGGTTAAGAAATTAAGTAAAATATATTTAATAAACATTTTATTTTCATTAACAATAGATACCCGAAAACGCCGTTTTTGAGTTTTCTTGTATCTTGTTCTCCTCAAAACACAATTTGAAATCATATTCTTTGGCATGGTTTCCATCCGGTAATAATTTTTATTGCTATAACTTTTAATTTTATTTTTGTTCTTTTTAATTGAAATTCTGATTTGTCTTAAACTTTCAAAACCTTTTTGATTATAAACGCATTAAATAATCTAAAGTTATAATTTCCTTTTATAAGTAACAGTTCACAATATTTTTTATTTCGCTACGAATTTTAAAAATGTTTTTCCACCCCCGCTTCAGTTCTCTCCCCGGGGTTAAGTATTTGAATTCCACCTGCCACAAGCACTCTTTACTTTCAACTTAAAAATTTTCATGCGAAACGAATTTTATTGTTAACGATGAATGAAATTAAAAATAAAAAGAAAGAGAGAAAATCACTTTCTTGTTAGATATCCGCCGACGCGTTTGTAGACAAAAATAATTTTATTATTTGGTCACTTTTTCAAAATCACTAAGAAATACACAGAAACTGAATTCTTTCCCGAAAAAAATCAAAGGAATAAAATGAAAATCTTTAACTGTTATGGGCTTCACCACTCAGGTTTCATTATCAACCTCCGTTTGATAGACGTGCCCAGCTAAAGCAGACTTTTATTTGATTTTGATTTTCATTGTTGTTACATGCTTATCAACCGTCTGAAACTCATACATTTAAACAAAATCTCCAGACGGCTGTAGATAAGATTTCTAGACATTGTACTTGGTTTATGATGTCAGGGATTTGATCGAATAATATGTATGAATGTATTTATTATAATCAAAATATTATCAACGAATTGTGTAGGCTTGTCTGTTACTAAAGGAAATTGTTCAAGCAAAACACCTAAGGCTTGAACATAAGTATTTAATGTTTTCAATGTTCAGAAAGCTTAGCAACAAATCAAATTCTTCCAAAAATAATAAATTCTCACGAACTATAACTAGTTTGATATTAATATTCTAATAAGAGAACTTTATATTAATGTTTGCCTAGTCTAGAATGTTTTTAATGTATGTACTTATGGTTAAGTTTATCATTTTTGATAGCTTTATCAGTTTGATAAGAATATTTCGCTTGTACCCAACGGACGTTTTAATGACATACACTTTTTTTTACTAATATTTCACAAATGCATTTAATCTTTTTCACAAGTTAAAATCTAATAAGTTCAGAATGTTACTTACACTGCATATGCCAGCAACGCCATATGACGTTGTTCAGTCGAATTTTTTCTTTCCATCTTAATCGAATGCCTTTAAATGGATTCCATTTTGGTGACGTCAATTTTTGTCTGTGAAATAAACGAAATAATATGACTTATGAGTTTTATTATCATGAGACAATGAATTATTTTAAAATATTTATTTAAGTCATATCAAAGAAAAAAGTTATAATCTAAATAAATTCAGCATGATTTTCCTATCAAATTATAGAGAATCACCTTTTAAGTAGAATAATGACATTAAAAAAACCTTTTTTTGATAATGCAAGACTTCGTCATATTAATAGCTGTTTACTTATTTTCATTGATAAATTTCGAGACAACTGTTTGTTTAAAAAAAATTGTTTTTACTCGCTGTTTTTCTCATTGCTGAAGGAGAGGAAATAAAAGGAAAAAAGGCCTGAGAAAAATTAGGTAAATGTTTGATCGATAAGAAAAATAAAAGGAGAACTATTTCAAGTCGTAACCATCGAATGGAATAAAAGAAGCAAAGCTGGAAATTTTCTTGCGAAATTAATACACCAATTAGTAGAAGTTCTTAATTTAGCTTTTAACCGACAAGATGGTGTTATCAGTGACAATGAGGTCAAGAAAGAAACAGTAAAAAGTAAATCCAGGAAAAATTTGTAGTAAATTAAATAATGGGACAAGCAGAGAGTAATGTAACTTCTGGTGTGAAGAAGCAAGCTGGAGTTTCCACTCAAAAGCTCTATAAGCTTGTGAACTTAAAAGGAGGTGGTCTGCTTGTAGACATGATGAAAAGGGCAATAAACAATAAGCAATTTGCAGAAATAGATCACGCAATTAAAACTAAGGCAAGTATACATCCGAAACGTGTTACGAAGTTTACCCTTTCCCTTCATATTTTAGGTTGAACCCTTTCTTTACAATAAAGGTCGAGGGAGATACATTCCTATAGCCAATTTAGTTAAGTTGAGAAATTGTGATCGTCCCAAACATAAGCAATTACCAGAAATTCGAATTTTGGAAAATCCCGAAGAGGATTTTGATATCGAAATAGATTGTCCAGACGTGAGAAAAGAAAAAGCAAAAATAATTTAATTTTAATATTCTTTGTTACTTATTCCTAGGTCAGTGAAGCTGATTATCTGATAAATCCGTCTGCTTACAGGGAAGTTGTTTGGGATATCAAGGTAATCTTATCGATTTAGAATAAACTCTGTTGAAACTAGAATCGGTGTTAATCAAAAGAATTTAAAGGCTCGGAAAATGAAAAAGTTGTAAAAATATAATTTTTTAAAAACAATTTTTTTTCCTACTTTTTCTTAAAATAAATTAAGGAGCGTGGAGCTGTTGGTGAAACTATTCTTCATTTATGTTTACTAAATGCGACATCACTTCATGCTGACTTAGCGAAAAGGTTACTTCGATTTTATCCAAAATTAATAAATGACATCTACATGGGTGATGAATATTACGGTGAAAATGTTTTGCACATTGCTATTGTTAATGAAGATCCTGCGATGGTGAAATTTCTTCTTGACAGTGGATCAAATATACATGAGAGATGTTGTGGTACATTCATGTCACCAGAGGATCAAAAAGGAACACGCTATGATATCATTGAACAAGAACCAGTTTGTGTCAATCCGATTACCAACTATGAGGGTTACGTTTATTGGGGAGAATATCCTTTAAGTTTTGCTGCATGCCTTGGTCAAGAAGAATGTTATCGTTTGGTATTAGCGAAACACGCAGATCCAGATTACCAAGATATTAATGGAAATACCGTTCTTCACATGCTTGTCATACATGAAAAATTGACAACCTTTGACATGGCATACGAAACTGGCGCTAGTCTCAGAATCAAGAATGCTTTGAACCTTACACCTTTGACTTTAGCAGCAAAACTTGCTCGTGTCGAAATGTTTTTTCACATCATCAACATTGAGCGTGAAATCTATTGGCAATTGGGATCAATAACATGTGCTGCTTATCCCCTTGAACAACTTGACACGATTGATACTAAAACTGGCAATATTAGCAAGGATTCAACTTTAAACTTAGTCGTGTTCGGGGTGAGACTTTAACTTTGTCAATCAACTTGTTTTATTTATTAAGCATTTTAGGATAAAGACGAACATTTAGACCTTCTAGAAGGCGTGTTAATTGATCTCCTCAAAGTGAAATGGGAAACTTTCGTTAAAGCGAAATTCTATCGTCAATTTTATTTGTTTGCAATTTATTTTTTCATTTCCTTGTTTGCATTTGGATTACGACCAAAAGCAATAGGAGAAGGTTATGATGAAGACAATGACAAAAGTAGAAACATAACACGTGAAATAAGCATGAATGACACCTCAAATTCACCTCCTAAATCTTTATATTTTCACAATTTAACGGAATTTCTTTGCAATTATTCTGCTTATCAAGAAGTGATCATGCAAACGGAAATAAGCATAACAAACACATCGGAGCTTTATGACAATTCTACGCTGCCAATTGATGATTCAAATGATTGGACATCGTTCTCTGAATGTCCATTAATGGATATTAGCACATGGGAAAATCGGGTAAAACTAAAATTTTCATTGGCATAAATTTCAGATTTGAAACAATTTTTCTTTTCTTAGATAAAACTTGGTGCTGAAGGTTTATTAACAATTGGTGCTTTATACTACATTCTTACAGCCTTGCGTGAAGCTCGCTTCCTTGGTGCGAAAATGTTTTTTGAAAATTTGGTAAATGAAAATCTCAAAACGCATTTCGATATTAGATATAAAATTATAATTGAATTTCTTTCAGAGCACTGCACCATCCCGTGTAATGTTTTTATTTTCTTGTTGGCTGATGCTGACTGTGCCATTTTTAAAATTTTTCTGCCTTCCCAAGCTCGAGGATCATGTTGCAGTTGCCATTATGTTGACAACTTCGCCATACTTTCTCTTCTTTTGTCGGTTTGTTATAAAATTTTCATTTCAATACAATGCATGATGTTAAGGAATTTTAGTTTGAATAATTTTTAATTTTTTTAGAGGATTCAAGACAGTTGGGCCCTTCGTTGTCATGATATACAGAATGGTGGTTGGAGATCTTTTAAGATTTGTTTGCATTTACATGGTATTTGTGATGGGCTTTTCTCAAGCTTATTACATCATTTTCCTTACATTTGATAACTCAGAAGAAGAAGATCCAGACCCAGAACTCAATCCCATATCTTCCCCAATGGAAAGCTTTATTTCAATGTTTTTGATGTCTTTGGGTAATTTTGGAGACTATTATGGTGGAATGGAATTTACCGAACATGAGACACATGCAAAGGTGATTTAAAAATAAAACATTCATCAAAACGTATTTATCGAACTCTCATAAGATTCTTTTTGTTCTTTACATGGCGATTGTTGCCGTTTTACTTATCAACATGTTGATTGCCATGATGGGTAATACGTATACGAAAATTGCTGAGACTAAGAATGAATGGCAACGTCAATGGGCTAGAATAGTTCTTGTTGTTGAAAGAGGAGTTCCACCTCACGATCGTTTAAAGAAGTTCAATGATTACACACAAAAAATGGCTGACGGTAGAGCTGCACTTATATTGAGATTGAACATGACGGTAAGAGATCAAAAATAATATAAACAAAAACCAGATAGAAATTGTTTTAAAAATTATAGGATGATGAAAAAACAGAAATGAAGGACATTTTAGAAATGAAGCGCATTCATGAAAGGATGTCAAAGAAACGACAAGTCGAACGTGAAGCCCGATTGAATAAGTTAGAACTTGATCGACAACATGGATTAGAGATGAAAGCAAAAGAAAAGCGTTATTCAAATGCACAAAAGTTTTAAAAAAATATTAAAAATAATAAGTGAATAAATTTTTCCCCTTGGATTCTTTCCGTACATATATTGAAATGTTTTAGATTTTCGATCGAAAGAATCATAAAATTTTCGTTAACAAAAACTTTCATGTAACATTTTAATTGCGACTTTTTAATTAAATATTTTCCCAAGGTTGGAGAATGCATTCGAGAATAAATGTGAATTACCTAGATGTGTACGCTATAAGTTGAGAGAAGAAGAAAGTTTTTCTGTACGAAAATTTATTTATAGAAGGATTTTATGAGAACATTTTTCGAATAAATAGCGAGCGAAAGACTTAATCAGTTTGTTTACCTTCACCGCGGATGGAAAACAATTTCAGTTTCTTACTAAATCCCGCTCTCTGTCGTCAAGAGGCAAATACGATCAACTACAACTGTTTATACGCTAACTATTTAGGTATATTGCAACCCAGCCTCTACTTTGTACACATATACATAGATAATGTGAATGTATTTTTAGACTAAATAGCAACACAGCTGATTGAAGTGGAAGTGGATTGTGTGCGCGAATGATATTATTGTTTTCTTCTGTAAATAACGGTTTGTTGTGTAAAAAGCACAAGCTACATAACAATCTTGTTTTTCTCTCGGATATGTGACGTCGATTCTAATTTTAAGAAATTTCAGGAGAAAAAATGATTATTTTATCTGCTACTAGGTGGTACTAACAAGGTAGATATGGGAATGAAAATGTATCAACATAATTTAGAAAGATAATACCTTTTTAAACATTCGCGATTGTTGATCTTAGTGTTTTCTATTTCTTAGAAATATTTTAATCCAACACTTAGTATTGCAAAAATTTTATTATTCAGAAGTCTTTGAAGTTGCAATCATTTCTAAATAATTATTTTGTTTTGAAGGTTTCTTTTTTCCTACTCGTGTCATATTAATTATGGCCATTAAAACAGATACGAGAGTGTTCTTTTTCAAAAATTGTTTTCACCCTATTCGATGATACATTAGATAAGCGACAATGTAGAGAATTCTACAATAATAAGAGCTTTACAACTCGTGATAACCCGCATTTTTAAATGATTGTCAACTCAAATTGGTATTTTATTAAACCAGTCATTAATCTTTTAAAAAATCAATTGATTGTACTGTAAACGACAGGTTTAAATTGGGTTTTGAGCATACACTTGAATAAAATTGTCTTGATGATAATAGGCCATGAAAATCCTTGAAAAGTGATGTTTAAACGATGAAGAACATGTGCGTTTCATCTGACGTCATGAAGTTTTAAGTTAAGAACGAGTTCGTTTTTCAGCAAGGAGATCAATGCGTTTGAATTTAATCAATCATAAAACCCGTAGGATTCTGCCATGATTGTACATTGTATTATTTTTTAATCAAATTAATGTTCAATTAAATCGTATACATTGGAACAACGATGAGATGATAAATTTACCCGATTGAGACTACTTGGTGATAATTATTTTCTTCTTTGATTTGAAAAGCTGTGTCTGGTTTTGATTACAAATTACTAGAGAACTTTGGAGTTCCTCATTTCCTCTTCATTTTATTTTTTCAATCTGTCACTGAACTGTTTCATAAATATCTACTGTTGAAAAAAGAATAATACTCACTTGTAAGTAACATTCAGAGTGTTGAAGACCTGGCTCAAATCTGAATCAATTTCATACACTTCTGATATCCGCCTTTCTGGTTCAAGAAATTTGTATCTTTCCAATTGCATAGAAACAACACCTGATGATGTGCTCGCAACAGGACCAGATGATCCAGATGTATCTGCTGTAATTTCTTCGCACTCATCATCGTTATCGGGATAATCTTGATACTCGTCTAACTCTTGCTCAAAATGAGATACCATAAATTGACCGCTGTGAATTGATTCACAGTTCTTTTTCGATTCTACTTTAAGCGACATTGTTTGTGTCATTCTTGCGTTCTATTTTTCCTTAATATTTTCCCTTTCTTCTGCTTTATGTATATTTTCTTAAATAACACTTTTTCTTTAATTTTAGCACATTTTGCTTTTTTTAGTTGACATTATTTTACGCGTTTTTAATACCAAGTAAATTTGTAAAATATATCACAATATTTCAAAGTTCATAGACTAACAAGCGCACTAAAAATTAAAACTAAATTGCACAGAAATGACGATAACTCGTTCCATTTTCTAAGAATTCAAAACGTTTTTGAAAATGAAACAAGCCCCTTGCTTCAACGGTTCAAAGTTTTTCCGTGGATTGGTTCCGTAGACATTTGAACCCTTCTCCAAATTCGAATACACATCATTGCCGCAAATTTTACTAAGGCGGAAATTTTAAATAAATTTATATTTTTAGAAGTATTCAGCCCAGAATAAGCTGCAATCATGAGTCAACCAGTTGAAAAAGTTTCTAGGAGTGAAAAGTCGCTTAGTACGTTAACGAAAAAGTTCTTAGAAATGCTCCAATTTGAGAAAACTTTAGATTTGAATATCGTGAGTAAACAAAAACAAAAAAAGGTTGAAGTTTGACTATATTCTTATTTATTAGGCCACAATGGCTCTTGATGTTAGCAAGAAGAGAAGGATATACGATATTACTAATGTAATGGGTATGAAAATCTGAAAATATTAAATATTTTTGATAAAAAATATGATTATATTTTATTTTTAGAGGGATGTAATCTTATTAAAAAAACTGGCAAAAATATGTATTCTTGGTGTGGTAGAACCTCACACATTGATGACTCTGAAGAACAATTTCTATTGGATCTTAAGGAAGATAAAGAGAAACTCAGCGAGACCGAAAAGAAGCTAGACAAGTGAGATGATATTTATATTGATCTTGATAAAAAAAATTCTTATTTCCCGCGTTTTTTTTTCTAAATTTCAGTGACATTAAAGTTATGAAAATGAATCTTGCTAGCCTTCAATCAAAATCATCAAAATCTTTCTGTTACTTAACAAAAGATGATTTTATAGCGGGATATGGTGGAGCACAAACTGTTTTCGTTGTACAAAATTCTAAAGTCCTCAATTTTATTCTTGGGAATGAGCAAAAAGATGTTCATTCTATCCATTTGAGTAATCACATTCCTAGAGATGTGCATATTTTGGGAGACGTTTTGAAACCAATTCAAATTAAACTTTTAAATACAGAAGGAAATGAAAAGGATAAGCATGATTCTGACATTTTAGAGCATGTTATGGATGTGGATTCGGAAAAGAGTGATGGTCAGGAGATAACAAGGACTATAATAAAAAGGAGAAGCCATTGTCGCAGAAGGATAAAAACTTTGCCACTCTTCAGACGAAGACTAAAAACTAGAACATTTTTAGATCTCGAAATTGTTGAAAAAGAAAAACTTGCTTCTTCATTACTTAAACTTGATCGATTTAAGGATAAATCGCTTTTCCATTACATTACAGTTAATAAACTTACAGAACCATTAGAACTAAGTCAACCTAGCTTCATTGATATAAGACCACCTCCTGAAATTGAGTATGAAGATAATTTCTCCCTTTCCCCGCCTTCAGTTCATGATCTCTTCGATAAACAAATCGAGCCATTACCAAAATTTTATTTTGGAGAAAATGATGGAGATTATGAAGTGATGGAATATCTTGAAGACGAAGAAGTATAGACAACTGAATAAATTAAGAATGCGCTTGAAATGTTTTGAAGAAAATTTTTTAATGACGATAAATATAGAAATATTTAAAATTAAGATTTAAACTTTTGTCTCTTTCCACCACCGCCATTTTTACTTCCATTAATTCTTTTTCTTGCTCCGCTGAATTGTTCAGTATCATCATCATCGTCCATATTTCTTATTCTGGTTTTCGAACCCCGCTTGTCTTCAATATCTTTCAATTCTAATCGAGCTGTTCTCTGTGCTTCCCCAACACGTTCCTGCAAAGCCATTACTTCGTCTTCTTCTGTTTTAAATAATGGAAGCTGTTTTCCTAGTAAATGTTCTATCCTCTGATATAGTTCAACATCTGGAATAATGTAATAATGGTTTTGAAATTGTCATTATTAGTTTTAAGTAAGCTCACCATACTGTGTCACCAATGTTATTGCTTTACCAGATCTTCCTGCTCTTGCTGTTCTACCTACTCTATGAATGTAATCTTTGCTGTGTGTAGGAATATCATAGTTGAGAACAACATCTACATGGGGAATGTCCAAACCTCTAAAATAAAGATTTTTATTCTTATTATTATTATTATTAAAGAAATGAAACATTTTCAAAAGCGTTATCAATTTTAGGTGTTTAATATCAGTGGTAGTGACGAAACTAATAATTATTCTACATTGAAAACTTTATTTTCTCATAAAGTTTCAGTTTCGAAAGAAGTTAACATCATATTAGTGAATATATGTTAAACTTTGTTATTAATTAAAGCTTACCTTGATGCAACATCAGTTGATATGAGGAATGATCTTGCTTTCGCTTTAAATTTGTTTAAAGCTGCTAATCGTTTGTTTTGTGACATTTGGCCGTGCAATGGAACTGCTGCAAGTCCTAAAGCTCGAAGCATTAATGCAACACGAACTGTTGAATGACACGTAGAGCAGAATATAATAAAACTGTTGCCAGCGAGTTCATTTAGAATATGGACCAGATAAAGATCTTTGTATTTTGTTGGAATAAAAACGTAATATTGTTGAAGCTTGTCGACAGTTTGATATTTGTTTGAGACTTCGACTTTTACAGGATTCTTCAATGAAGCTCTTTCCAGTTTTTTAACTTTTTTTGTCATTGTGGCACTGAACAAAAAGGTTCGTCGTTCTCTCGGAATTACTTTAAGAATCTTATCCAATTCAACTTCGAAATCCATGTTAAGAATCCGATCAGCTTCATCCATCACAAGATACTTTACTGATTTCAGATTAAACCCTTTTGTGTGCGTAAGATGATCTACTAATCTTCCAGGAGTAGCGATTATTATATGAGGCTTTTTTGCAAGTTGTAATGCTTGAGATACCATATCCATTCCTCCAACTACTACAGCACATTTTATTCCCACAGATGATCCAAGTGCTTCAAATTGTTCAGAAATCTGAAATGCTAACTCTCTGGTAGGAGTCAATATGAGAGCATAAAATCTCTGTGGATTATCAAGTAAAGTTTGTATGATAGGAAGTGCAAATGCTCCAGTTTTACCAGAACCAGTCTCCGCCAAACCAATGATATCATTTCCTTTCAAAGCAAAAGGAATGGATTCACGTTGAATTTTTGACGGTGCTTTCCATTTCAAATCTTCACATGCTTCACATAAGACATCAATAAGTCCCTTTATAAAAAAATAAAAAATGTAAACAATTTAACCACCACGTGCATAAATAATATTTACCAAATCTTTCCAGGTCACAGCTGTTTCTTCTACATCATCCAATATACCCTTCAATTCATGTTTCTCCTTCTCTTTGACATCAGTTTCTACGTCTTCAACTTCATCGTTTTCATTTTCTGAATTACTTAAATTATCTTCACTCGACGACATCGTAGATCACAACATCAATCTTTGAAAAGTGAACGAAATTTTGTTTTTTGTTATAATTAGAATAATTTAAATAATTTTGAACCGTTAGTTAATCTTAATAAATATACGTTAACGTATCTAATAGATATTAGATATGATACCTATTAAATTTCATATCTCTTAAATCTTTGAACATTCGAGACTGTTTTATTATACAGAAATTATAAATATTTTAAAGAAATTAAAATTTGAAATTGCATTTAAAATTCTGTCTATTGAGAAATAAAATCTGTAATCTCACTTTTATTTTTCGATGGTAATGTTTCTGGAGAAGGAAAGATTACAGTAAGTTTTGTGTTAATTTCTGTTTCAACATGAACTTATATGTGGCGCTTTATTAAATCTAGCAAAAACCAGTGTGATATTGAAACAGGGCGACAAATGATTTTAATTTTACTTCCTCTGAGTCTAAAGGTATTGCACAATAACATTAAATCCTAATTTATTACTTCTTTCTTCTCCTATAAATTGAAGAAAAACATTTGAAAACATAGTTCTTTATATATTGTGTACCTGTTGGACATCCATTTTTCTTCAAATCTTTTATGAGCAGGAATAGGAATAGGAAAAGAAAATAAAACATAAGGTAAATCTAACAAAAACTCCCTGTACATGCTAAAAAGAATCGGGTCTCTTGATCGGAAGGAAGGAAAGAAAAATAGTTAAAAAGAAATATCATAATGGAATAATGCCAAGAACGGACATTAAGTTAAAAGTTTCATATTAGCACCACCATTCGAAAAAACCTAAAACGTGTCTTATACGCATTTTTTGTAATTATAGAATGTCATATTATTTTACTGCTTGTGCAGGTAGAAATGAAGCAGTTATGTTTTCCCATTTGATTAAAGATAAAAATGAACTCCCGATATTGTAGATGTATTTTCATACTTTTTTTTCTATAATTTCAAATTGCAAGAGTTGTAAAATAAAACGATCAAACTCTAAAAATTTGAAACTGATCGAATATTTTCTACTTTTGGAAACGCATGACACTTGCAATTATTCTCTACTTGTTTAAAAAAAATTCATGATTACATTTGTGAAAACATAATAAAAAATCTTTTTTATTGCTTTAAAACTTTAGTTAAATTTACTGTATTTAAAGAAAATAATTGATATGTGGTTGATGCACATGGTGGAATTAAAATGTGTGAACCTTAAGCATTAGCAATAGGAATATAAATAAATTATATTTTATCCAGAATATATGATTGAAGAAACATTATGTTTATCCTTTAATTTCATATAACGCAAAACTATGTCATTAAAAGAAATAAGAATAAGTTGCATAACAAATATGACAAATGAAATATTTATACCTATATAGTTTTTAAAGGTAAGTAAAAAAAACCCCAATATTAGATATTAAATAAAATGATCTATACGGATAGGATATAAAGCGATTAAGATTTATTATCTTACTCACATATACCTAATTATAAATCTCTTCATTCGTCGAAAACTCTGTATTTGAAGGATAATAACAGATGTTTTTAGAGGTACCATATATCTAGAAGATGTTCACAAAAAAGGTCGAGAAGTAGAAAGCATTAATTATTATAAGATGGACTTTCTTCGTTTCTCGTTTTAAAACTAAATTCTCTCTGAATTGTCTTTTTTTCAAGATAGTTTGTAAAAAATTATGATCTGGCAAGAAATGTTAAAGAATGATTCTCGGTGATTACTTGATATGAAAAATACATCGATTAGAAGTCATTAGCAAAAATATTTGTTGGTTTTTCATTCTTAAACCTAGAATTATTTAGAATGAAAAAAAAACCACTAAAATAGTTTTGAAAACCAAACAAATATAATGTTAGAAAAAGTTAACTGCTTAATTACGTGCCTTTAGAACTGAAAAGTAAGTTTTCGATCGATCACACACATCGAATACAAATGTTGATTTCAACAGAAATTCGAAGCGATTAATTTCCACCCAAGAGAGTTCTTATAGACAACTACTTCCTGTTGTGCTGATTCAATTAATTATTTTTCTCTTCACACACTTTAATACATCGTATCACATTACCACTCTTCGAATTGATGAAAACTATTTCTCTTGAATAACTTTTTCTCTACAATTTCACCTTCTCAAAGAAGTTTTCTTATAATTTATTAGAAGTTTTAAGAAATTGCAAGGTTTATTGTAAATAGAGTGGATACAAATTGCATAAATTTTTGTTCAGTCTGAAATACATAGAATCACTTCCGATATGAGCAAACCCCTAAGACGAATTATACAGCCATCTAATAAGATCAATTGTATTTCTCTCATTCTACGATATTCTACACTCGGTCGATCGCTTGTAAAATAAATAGTTTAACTGTACACAAGCACAAGTTTTTATGTTATTCTCAACTACATGTTTAAATGAATTGAAAAGAGAAGAGAAAAAAGTTTTGTTAAAATAAAATCCTATTCAGAGTTCGTTCGTGCATCAAAGCGTCTACATATAGCTGCTCAATCGTTCATAGTATTTCTAAATAACCAAGCCATAAAAAAAGTAGAAAAGCTTTAAATTTATGTTTCGTTTATCATAACTTTTTCAGTGAGTGTAAAGTTTAAACTAACAACTCATATAAACAATATTAAATTCTAATTTCACTAGAAAATATAAGTAAAAATAGTTAAATTAATGAAAAAGTTTAAAAACTATAAAACAAAGATCAAAAATAATCAAACGGATAACAAAATGAAAGCTGGAAATTTGTAAGTAATTTCTTCGATTATTAAATTAACAGTTCTTTTCTGAAATAAACTGTTCATCTAAGTATATCATTCAGATTCTTTCTTGAAACTTTATCTAAACGTTCTGGGATTTTCTGCAAGCAATATTTAGTTCCAAACAAGATAATTATTTGAGTAATCATCATCAGACGGATGGATGTTTAAGAAGGAATTTTAAATGCGAGCAAACTGTTAAGCAAGAATGTTTCACATCCCAGTTTCTGAGAAGTATTCCAAACACATTATTAAGCGATGAAAAAAGGCCTGGGTTGAACTTTAAACAAATCTTTGCTGTTACGTTATTTTTCTTGTTTTAATCTCTTCAAGATTCAAACAGATATCTTACGCATTCAACGCAAAACTGGTTATCACGCTGTTGGACCTTAATTTTCTTTCTCATAGTTTTGTATAGCGTCGATATGTATCAAACGAATCTTAATTTATTTTGATGACCCTTTAAGTATCACAAAGTTCTAAAATAATCAATTTTCTGAACTCATTTTGTGTGTTAATCATTGAATGATGTAAGATATTTTAAAGACAGAATTTTTTACTACTTACGGTACAAAAATTATTCAATATTTTTTGAAAACAAGAAAAAAATACTACATACATCAAGATTGTTACCTCGTCACGCGTAGTCTCTTGAACTCGTTTTTTTCGTCATGAATTTTTGATAAAAGAAAAAATCGATAATGGCGAGAAAATAAATTGTATGTTTACAAGAAAACTGGAATTCAATTAGATATTATAATGGATAGAAGGATAACAGATATTGTTCAAACCTATATACCTACACAATCCTAAATCTTTAAAATAATACAAATTATATTTAATGAAAACACAAAAATTTGTCATTGTCAGCTGGTTCTGTACTTTCTTGTTAGCACAGCTGAATCCAGACGCATCACCAAACAAATATCAGAGCGTTTTTCGATTGTTTCTCATTTTGTTTTCTTGATTCTGGTGGCCCAAATGGTTTCTTGTGGGTGTAAATAGTTTGTTCCAACAATCAAAGAAAAAAGCATAAGAATAATTTTTGAGTCAATAAACTTTTACTTTAGATTATTAACTCGTGGATAAAACACAAAATCAAAGAAAAAAATCGGGATTTCATTGAAAATAAGGGCAGAAATTTGCTGTGATACATTTGAGAGTAGAGAAATAACGCGTTCTTTTCCGATTTAAAATTCTAAAACGACGTTCCTTAGTGACAAGCTTAAAAACGAAGCTTGTCCGTTACGCACATGTTATTAAGTTATAATAATCATTTTCAACGCCCGGAGTAACGGATATCAATTTACATTGAAACTTGTGCCCAAGAGGTAGCTTTTAAGAACCATACGCTTAACGGTGGTAATTTAATTTTTAATGATTATGTGAATCATGAAAACAAGCAATATGAAAGAAAAGGAAATTATTTATGTCGCCTTTTTAATCAAATAATGTCTATCATCATAGGAAATGAACATACTTGTTCGCGAGAAAAATTATGAGCTATTGTTACTTGCTAACTTTTATTTTTATTGTATTAGTCATGTGTTAAAAATCTACTTTAATTAAATTTCTCTAAATTTGTAAAGTTTTTAAGTAGAGAAACTCATCGTCGGTTTTTTTTTGTATTGACAATGCGGGTTAGGTCGAATTACATAAAACGTTATACAAAAAACTTCAATAGCTCATGAATCATGATCAATTTTATGTCATTGTCATCATCTTCTAGATATTGTCTTTAAACGTGTTTCTTCTAAGTAGTAAATGATCACTTGTCCTTGAGTATCAATACATATCTTTCTGTTTTTGCATATTGTTAGCAAATAACTGCAATCAAGTTACAAATATGCAATTTAAAAATCTAGAAGTAAACTTTGCTGTTCAATTATAACTTTTTAAAACTTCAAACTAACTTGTCTTTCTCTTGCTATTCAATTCGCATTTTCAAACTTGACTTTAAAGACAATCAATTTGTCACATGATTACCTATATAGACTGACAGTTGCTTCATATTTCAACAATTAATTCTCAAATATTAATGTATATAAATTTATTTAATGTTACGAGACAATTTTTTCTAAGTAAATAAGTAAGTAACAATTCTGACGTATTTTTATAGGTGCACAGTTTCAGACTTCTCAAATATGTAGATATACAATTAAAATACTTTTTAGATGATATTTGTCTGTTAATTGTCATCAGGCATATAAAACCAAATATTTATACATCACTCGAAGCACTTGAGAAATTGAAACGGTGAGAAAATATTTTCTCATGTATTTTTTCACAAAATTTTGTTTTCATTCCATATTTTTCTTTCAAATTTTAAACCATCGCCAGGGGCTTAAATATTCGATGTAAAAATACAAACTTGGTTTCAAGAAAAGAACTTAAAATATAATCTGCTTGTCCATTTATTTCTCGACTTGCATAACCATTAGACTGAAAATTAATTTAAATCTTTGTATGTTCTTAAATTCTTTTCAAAGCACTCTTTAAATGGAGTGGAATAAACGAAAAATTTGCATCTATTGTGAAAAAATGTTTCATTTAGTTATTCATCCAAACAAAACTTTAGTCTTTTTTGAACAACCTCAAAATCAAAACCAGTGCATTTGAACAAAGCTAAATCCAATTTTAAATTTTCGGAAAGGAATTTTATTTATCTGTTGATGACTCATCCGGTCGCCTCTTTGATCTTTTTATTTTTCTTCTTATCTACTGCTATAAATTTAAAGTAAGCCCAATTCAAATGTTCAAACGAGACAATTTATAAATTTTGAAATTTCTTCGTAGATGTCTATAACTAAATAAATTAAAATTTTGTATGTCAAACTGTTTAAGATTTCTATAATTGCGTTATCTTTTATTTACAGTTGAAGCTTTTTATAACTTTTCGTATCGTATTGAGCGTAGCTGAAACGCGATGACTTTTCTCAAATTTCATCAAATACCTAATATCGAATCCAATGGTTTTTCAAATTTTCATACCATAAATTTACAAATTAATTTTTTTCGTCTGAAATGAGAGTAGATATTCAATTACAAAATCAAAACGACAGAATAAAAAGAAAAAAAGGGGGAAAAGGCAATAAAGAAGACGGAATCTGGAAGAACCTGTGACGGATGCAGTATTGAAGAATTCATTGTCTTCTTTACTTTTTTAGTTCTGGAATGTTCTGCTGATGCACACGGAAACAGTAGAATTAAAATATTCGTTTTCTGCAGGTTTTCATTCTCTTTGTTTTGACATTTTTTCTTTCATTCGGTAAATTTTATCATTTAAAAAGAATCATTAAATGCGAAGAACACTGGCACGTTATTCAACCTGTTTTCTTGACGTTCATTCCCAAAATTGCAGTATCTACTTTAGTGCAAGTGTAATTTTTTTCTCATAGCTTTCAAAATGAGGATGTGAATAAAAGGTTTCGATATTGATTACTAACCATTAAACTTTGTTCCTGAATAATTGTTGAGAACACAAACTTTCACATTGATATCAAAGCGAAACAATGAAAATGATGATAAATTACCTGTGGTCATATTATTTTAGGTAGAATGTCATTGCTATGGATTCATTCATTTTATGAAATTTCGAAACATAGAAAAAATGAAAAATATATCTGTCTTGTTAGATTTTGACTGTTGGACTCTTAATACCATAAATTTCAGACCAAATAAAGTGTAATGACAAACAGAAGGATGTTCATAGTTTTCAAAAGAGAAATCGTAAATATAATAGCTTCAAATGAGAGAAGGCATGTTGGGATCGCATTTTAATTCTCTGTCTATGTCCCTTAAAGTATCCCAAATTTATTGTGCTTCCATACATATTTTATGTGTTTTAGGACGTTTGTAAAAATACGACGTTGAAAACGAAAGTGCTTCGTTTCCTTTAAGTCATTTAACTGCAATTTGGTAAAAGATAATATCCATTTTTAAGATGAGATAATATCGTTTATATTTTTTTTAAATCCTTTTCGGTTCTTGAAGTTGAGATCTGACAAAAATAAAATTCTCATGCATTTCAGTCAGATGTAAATAAAATCCATAATTCCTACCTAACAGGAAGTTTAACCTTTTTTTGAGCGCAAGAGTGGTATTTGAAATGTACAACATTAATTATGGAAAACATTGTTTTTTAAAACGTCACCTAGCACTGAGTCAATCCAAATAGGGTAAATTCGTTCCTTTCATAAATCGAATTTTCAAGAAAATAGGACTATGCATATCGCGTCATTTTGAAATTCTTCTATTAATTTTTTCCTTTTAGTATCAACCATAAAATATGTTTGTACAAGTTGTGTTCAACAAATAACTCATCCATTGTTATTAGTTGTTAAAACAGTATTGTATAAATATTCTAATCTAAATATACAGTGTAGGACGTAAGTAGTGTTTCTCAAAATCCCTGTTTTTTGAAAAACAGGGATCAGGGATCGATGATTTTCTACTAGATATCGACTTTTTTTAAAAGAAAAAACTGCATTAACGTAATGTTCTGACATAGAAAACACTAAACAATCCATCTTTATAGGAAAAATTAAGCGATTTCTAGTAGAAATTTGACGATTTCTTTTTCCCTATTCCCTAAAAATAGGGATTTTGAGAAACACTAGACGTAAGAAAGTAAACACATTATATGGATGGCCCTAAACAGAATCATTTCATTAACATGTAGAAAAAAATTCCTTGCGTTACTTGATCAATGTTTGCAATGGCAATAATTGCATCTACAAAATGTTTCTGCATATCAAAGCATTAATATACATAGTTGTTGTTTCAAGATAGATTCAATAAAAATATGCTAATAAAATAATCACTTTTCCATCTCCGGAGCAAAACTAAACATCTTTTCGGTTATTGTCTCTTTGAAACTGAAATTATAACATAAAAAAGTTGAGCAAAAGTTGCTGAAAACAAGCTATCTATGTGAAAATAATTATCCCTTTATAAGTATTTATTTATGATTTTTTCACTAAGTAGTTTTACGAATTTGAATAATTTCTACAAGGTGTACACACTTTATAAGAGGTGTCCATTTTCTTATGTCCTATTTACACTGTACATAAAGACAAACATCCAATTTCCCGAAGATATGTAAATAAATATTCTTTTTATTAGAATGATTTGAATTTTATTTCTGGAAAAAAAGCTGTTGAAGACAAAAAAATATTAGATTACAAATTTACATGATTTAAAAAGATGTAAGATTTAACATAAGATTGAAAATTTTAGGTGAGGCAACGGCTATTAAAATATCTAAACCAAGAATAACTTATTTAGAGACTAACATTTTTACATATTTTATTGGTATTTGAAAAAATATAAAACGAATCAGGAGAAATTCGAAATTTCATGAAATCAAGCGTGAAATTTTCACGCGGAACATTTATTTCTCTATATTTTTTTTGTAATGGTTGGAAACTTCTCAATAGATTGAATTATTTCCAAACGAAAATCAATTAATTGAAGATTTGGTGTAAACAATCTTTTTTTTTTCATAATACGACTGCCGAATGTGCCAATGAAAGGCGTTGAAACACCTTAATTTCAAGCAATTTACAAGCAGCTCTCCAATGCTTGGTGAAACGATAACAATTGTAAAAACGTGTTCAAATTTTCATGTTATTTTATTTTTTTTCTTTTGGGATGTCGGAAAACATGATACAGCTGTTGCGACCATGATACAAACAGTCGACCGTGTGTTTGCTCTTAATTTCAGCTTCTTCCTTTGTGTTTGAACATTCAATGTTCCATGTAACATGATGCATCTTTAAAATGATGGATCAGAATCAAGACCTAAATATTCGATGCAACGACAACAAAAATCGAATAAAAAACAGCAATCTGCTGAATGAGTTCGGCAGGGGGTTTCTGCTACGTTTCATGAGCTTCAATATCTACTTAGTTGTGAAAAGAAAGAAAGAATGAAAAAAAAAAAATTTGCATTGAAATTCAATCTTTCCATTCTCAGTTTACTTTCGGAATCCTATTGTGATGTTTTTCCTTTTATTTGTTCTGTCTTAGCAGAACTTATTGGAAAATTATTTTGAAACGGAATTATAAATTGTTTGAGATATTTTGTTGTTACAATATTGCAGCCAATTGATTGATGATTTTTTTCTCTCTTTTTTTTCTTTCAGAGTAAACAAATCAGATAAAAATATGGAGAAAGATGTTAATACAAATAACCCAGCGGCTGTTGAAGACGTTGAAAAAACGCGATTACCCATGAAACATCCCAAAGCAACAATAACATCAACAGTTCCAATCGTTATAAAAATAGAACCCCCAAAAGACGTGGGAAAACAAAAGAATGATAACAACAGACATGAAGATAATGACACAAAGAATACTTTAAAATCAAGATTTTGTCAGCTCCTTCCGGTTCTTCTCTTTCTCGTTACGTTCGCAACGGTGCTTAGTTTACTCATTATTTATATGGATCCATCAAGTGAGTGTAAAATTCTACTTTTCGCATCAATCAGAATGATGGTTTGCTTAACCTAATGGGCGCCTCTCATCAGTGCTTCAATTTGTTCGTCAAATGAATTAAAGAACCATTGATGAGACGAGAAGCAATTTAACCAAATAACGAAAAAAATTGAATGATGAAATGAATAATGAAAAACACTCAGAAGGGCAACATGTGGCGATAGATGTTGGAATAAATGGTTCATTAACGTTAATTTCCTATAGAAATTCTTCCGATCATTCTATGATGTCCATCAATATCACTTCCCTTCATGTAATTCAAAAAAAAATCGTGGGATGTTTTTCTAAAACTTTCATGACACGAGAAAATAAATATTACAACTGACACCCACATAAATGTATCTGAGAAAACCATTTAAAGAATATAACGCCTTCATGTTTTAATCTAATTCTGTTCTCGCGCATTTCATATGCGATTCTAATTTACATAGCCTTCTACATAAATATTTTATATACTGACCAGCTTCAGTGGATGCTTTTTGTTCTTGTTTACAAGATCACAAATAAGAAAGGCTTTGTAAGTTACATTCATCCGCTATATTTGTTTTACTCTTTTCTTCCTTTTAAAACAACTTAATTGAATTCGAAAGAAAAAAATTGTTTATGATTCTGAATGCAACTTGCGTACAATTATAATGCTTCATCAAAATCGAGATTTTTCTTTATTTCTCAATTGAGCCCTTTCTAAGTCATTGTGATTCTTAGTTTATTTTCTTTAGTTTTCTAAAAAAAAAAGAGAACCATGATAAAGAGGCACACGAGAGTTTCTATAAAATTACATTTCAACGGTATTTAATTTCTATTCATTTTTTTATTCTGTATAAAAACTCATTCGCCCTTCTCGCGCGCGCTTTTGTTTCGGATGAATTCTCATCTTCTTAACAATTCTTTTACAAATGCTTCCATTCAATGTTTAAACACGAAGATATAATCTATTGAATACGATTCAGGAAATGTGTAATACATAATTGTTTTTCTTCTTTGCGCATCAATCGGTTTCTTCTTTGTTACCTTTGAAAGTTGTACTTAGTGATAGTCCTTTCAAGAAAAGTTCATAAACCTTTCAACTTCTTCCTGTGAATTATAATAAAAACTTTAGTTTGAATTTCTCTGTAACATTGCGAAAAAAAAAAGCTTATTATTTACATATTATTATAATAATCATTGTGCTAAATACAAAGTTCCCTTTCCTAAGTTCTTAGCATTCGTTTTCTTGGAACAAAAGATGAAGAATATAAAGAAGTTAAATCAGCAAAAACTATTTCAAAGAAAACGTTTTGTGTCAATTTGTAGCGCTTCGGACACATCGGAAATAAGCGATTAGTTTTTTGTTCGCTTCCATCTCAATATTTTAATTCTTTTAGAAAACGGATTTTTTTATTAACTCAATAAATAAAAAATCATAATAACGTTATGAATTATTTCACACTTTTGGTGAAGTGAACGAACTTTTTAAAAATACTTAATGAAGAGTGACACATTGCGATATCATCTCAGTTTGCAAACGCTGTTAATCTTGAGCTATAAATTAATTAACGGAAATATTTAATATACGCTTATAATTATTAATTAAGCGAAAGCTTCGTTATTTCAAATATCATCTTTGACTTTTTTTAATTGAATTATTTAAGTCGCTTCTTTGTATTTCCTCTTAAAAATTATCTGTTTTCTAAGTTAATGAAGTAGAAACATCCGCTTTAAAGATTTTGCTTGTTTTAAAATCTATTGATAATGAATTATTTTCAATCTATTGATGAAAATTCTCACGAACATTCCTTGACTAATATTTGAAGCGAAATTTATATCTGAATAATAATTTTCTCAGATGCAATTCAAAATAGTTTTATTCTAATGAATTGACTTCTAAAATCTTATGTTCAATCAAAAAACCTAGAAGTAATTTTTTGAAATTGATTTCAATCAATAGAAATAATCTTCTAATACTTTTGTATGTTTGCTTATTTCTTAGTTTTCTCAATATAAAAGAATTTGAAAAGTGCGAAGAATTTATTTGGAAAGAAAACTTGGAATTCGCGGCTATTTTCTATTAAAGACGATTAAAGTTATAAAAAAATGAAGAAAATTTCATTTGTCGATTTAACGCTCTCGTGATTAATTGAACGGTTTAGTCAGATTCAATTTTTTTAAGCATATTATAAAGAGAAAATATACAAAAAAGAATCAAATATGTAAAACGAAGAAGAATTTTTATTTGATTCTTTCAGAATAAGACAGAATCTTCAAACCCTTTGATGGGATATAATCATGTTCTCTTTAAGATGTTTTTTTTTAAATATTCAGATATTTTCTAAGTATCTAATTGAATCAATGTGAAATAATGTTTGAGAAACTCAGTACTCAGCCTAATTAAATTGAATGTATATAAAATGTTTTAAAATTAAACATGAAAAATCAATTTATAAGAGTATTCCCTCACCTCTGCATAATACAATTACAGACAGCTTTTTTCTATACCAAATTCTCTTCCGTCAAGACGTTTTTAACGCATAAAAAGCAATGCTTCTTTCATTTTATCAACACTAAAGGGAAAAAAGTAACTTCATCAATCGTCGGATGTAAAGTTCCGGTCTAAAGAGTCGGAAGAGAATGGATAATTCAACATAGTCAGTACAAACCATAAACTTAAATGTCAATCCAATTAGATCAAAGTGATGGATGGAATACCACAAAAATAAGTTCTTACACCTTTTTGTGGCTTCTTCGAAATATTTTAGGCATTTTGTTTCGTATTTTAAGGGTGGGAAAGTCGGTTTTGAACATTCTGTTAAATATTTACTTGAGAAGTACTTAAAACAAATATGTAGATAAATTCACATAAATACACATTTAACACAATAATTGCCCAGATAGTTACTTACAGTTTTTGATGTCTTATTCGATAAATATATTGACTTTGGCTACGACATATTTCATAAAGGCTTTTACATGTTCTTTTAACCAACATACGTATAGTTATTTAGGTGTCTCTAAAAATGAACAAATAGGTATTTGGTGTGCAACTAAAATTGGAATATTTATTTGTTAGTAATTCCAAACCGATAAATTTAGAATGATAGATTACAAGATAAAAGAAATAAGAGAGATGTTATGACTTTTCGTATTCACATTAAAATTGATGCATGACAGGAAATATCTCGTGCTTATGACTATATAATTTATAATCAAATTATCAGCTCATCATTTTTGCCATGTCGTTGTCATCCATCTTCTATAATCTACACATATATTTACATATTTGTTCAATATATCTATTGAACAATGTTATCTCATCACTACAAAATCTTTATGATTGAAATTTGACGTCAAATTTATGATGTGTTGTTTCCATAGAGAGTTGAATGAATAAAAAGGAAAGAAAAAAAAACCGAAATCTGAAGACGATTAAGTAGCTCACAACTTTGTATGAAGCTCCATTATTCTTCGAATTCATATTATTTATATATAATGGATTCTTTTGACGACATCCGTCGTGCAGATGAAAGGGTTATTATCCCATTTCCATATGATGCTTCTATCAAAGACATAAATTCTATTTGGACCCGTTTCACAAAAATAAATCTTTTATTTTTGCTGCTTCTTTATAAGCCTTGATTGCTTAACTACTCAAATAAACATACTTTTAAATCAATTTGCTTTCTTGACCTTACACTATAAATTGAAACGCAAATTTCTTTCTTTTCAATTAATTTTTTCATTTATTTGTTTTTTCTATTTTTTTTCATTGTTAACATCCACAGCTGAGTATCGTCATCAACAGTTTCGACAGAACTTGACTCATGATTATGATATGGTGAACACACCGCAAGACAACAAAGAGCTAGTTTGGTTTGTAAAGGAAGTTCTAATGAAGAAATATCCGATGCCGAATCTTCAAAAGCTACCAATGGATGAGTTTAATTACAACACAAGTAATGAAGCAGCTCCTTCTATGGCGAAAATGATTGGAGAAGATTTGTTTGATAGTAAGAAATCTGGATTCTATTTTCAATCTTTAACTGGATCAAATGCACCAATGATGCCTGCACCATGGCTTACACAGTCTCTTAACTGGGGAGGATGTGTTGTTGAACCAGATCCTCGAAAATATTTTAGTTACCGCAAGCTATATGCTCAACGCGACACAATAAAAATTGTTCATGCTTCATTGTCACCACAGAAATATCCCAAAGAAGTAATTATCATATTTACATATCTAATTAATGAAGAATTATGAAATAATCTGAATAAATTGTCTATTTAGGTAACATTACATTATGAAGAAGATGAAAGTGAAGTCAAAGTTGAGACAATGGCTGATGAACCAGAAAGAATTAAATGCTTTCCTCTCTACACCATTTTGTTGGCACTCAACCGTACCCATGTCGACTTGTTAAGCTTAGGTTGCCAAGGACAAGAATTGGAAATTTTACAGACAAGTGAGATCCAACAAACGATTCGCTTTTCGAATAATCTTTTTTATCTAATATTTTTCACCTTTTCTATTCTAGTTCCATGGGATCATATAACAGTTGACGTAATCAGCATTCATCTGATACATTTTTCACACAAAATTGATTATCCTCTTTACACAAGTGAACTCATAAAATATCTTGAGGATATGTCATATCAACTTGTGTGGAATCATGAGAAGAATTTTGTGTTTAAGAAAATAATTTCAAGTAAACAAGTATAGGACATTTCTCTTAATTTTCTTTATAGATTATGGAATATGAATTGCTCCTTCTAATTTATACCAAATATTTAATTTATATGAATAATTTTAATTAGTTCTATTGCACACCCACACAAATCTAGACATACAAAATGAGTCTCGAACTACTTTAACAATATCAGTTGAAGGTGAAAAATTCATCTTAGATATTATTTAGAAAAGAATTTTAATCATTTTTGGAGAACTTAACCTTGAGACTCTTAATTAAATTTTATACATTCAATATACCTACATAAGTTTTTCACTTTGTCACGTAAACAGATATTTAATTTATTACAACTTTTACTTTCACTGTCTACAGATTCTATACACATAATTGACTGATTGAATTCAATCAAAGAAAATTGGAGAATTGATAGCAATAAGTTCTTTTTAGAAATCCAAAGTTTATTTTATTTTTCTTATGTTAAATTTTCATTGAAATGAAAACAGAAAGAAAGTAAGTACGTATGTGTAGATGAAGAACAAAAGTAAAACATTAAATTAAAGAGATTTGGGAAGGAAATAAGTCAATGACAATTAAAATGTTTAAGTATTTTTTTATGTTTTTAGGGCTGGGAATGCCAAGAACTGAATAGTTTTCCTCTTTACAGAGTAAAATTAATTAATAGTTGAAAAAAATGAGATTTTTCGTCTGAAAATATTTTTTTTATTGACAAAATATAAATTATTCATGCACATTATGTTACATTTAGTGCCGAAGATATTATTCTTCAATTAAAGATAAAAATTTCTTCAAATTTACTCCTGACAAAACGAAAAATTTGTACAACTTCACTGCAAGCTCTCTATCCTCACTCAAACACTCCAAATTATTAAATATTTTAAATATTTTAAAAATTAAAATCAAACATTTAAAAGGAAATTTAAATATTGCAACATTCCTCTCTTTATATTTTTATAACTTTAATAATGGCAGAGAGGGAGAAGAAATTTTGATTTGCATTTCATTAAACAGGAAATGAAGAGCTTAAGAATCTCATTATGGAGGTTTTCTAACTTCTAACTTTCGCAATAATAAAGGAATGGAAAACGATGTTAAAAATCTAAAGAGAAACTGTAAGCAAAAACTCTAGAAATGTGCACCAAATAAACAAAACCAATAGAAGAAAATGATGAAAAACAATCGGTCAGGGAAATGAGGACGAATAAAGGAATTTTTAAGAAAATAAAATAAAATTACATAAAATCAAAATGTATCAAATTTTCTTCTTACTTATTACAGTTGAGTGCATCAAACTATTTATATAATTAAGATTTTCAAACGTTGAATGCTGTGGTTCTGCAACGACCGATTTTCTATTTTATTCTGGCGTAGCAGAAATATGAATATCTAATATCTAGTAATTAGTATCAAATTTCAGAATTTTATGGTATTTAGTTATACGTCCAATTGTATTTCATAAGACAATGCATTCAAATACGTTGTAAATAGGTGGTTATAAAATTCTCCAATATACAAATCTTGCGTGTCAGTAAAAGGTTCAGGCTTTTCATTGAATTTTTGTTCATGCTGGGAATGTGACGTCAATATTGTTACGTGTAATACCTGAACTACTTAGTGCTTGAACAGATGTTTCAAGTTGCCACTTAAAAAGTTTAAGGTGACTTTCAACAGTTATGCTACGTTTGATTTGATTTTATTCAATAATCAATAATGAGATAATTATAAATATTTTAGTTTCGTCTTAATCGTCTTCAAAATTCGTTTGCTGTAATCTCTAACATAACGAGATATCACAATAATGTAAGTCTTCATTTTAAGTCAATTATGATCATCTATTTAATTGTAGAGCATTAACAAAGAATTTATATTCCAAAATTCAAATCAAGTATGTTAATGTCGATCTAATTCAAATGTATAACTTTCTTTCCTCTGACGAAAGCGAAAATGTTAAATGTTAATTATATAATTCGCATGTACTTTTCAGATTTGCGACACGAATTTGTGTATCTGAATTTGAGTCTGGTGACAAATAAGCATGATTGAATTCTCTGTACGTTCCGAATCAAGAACAAACATTTTATTGCGAATTGTGATGTGACTGGCATGAAAACTGCAACCGATGAGCGTCTCAAATGTTCGACGACGTCAATGAAATAATTTTTACATGTAGTGAAAAACTTCGTTTCGGTCATGCGTGGTAAAGCTTGCGCAGAGAGTTACAGCATTAAATGAGTTATCGATCTAATTTAATGTCTTGCTTTTGATAAGAAATTGTATGATAATAATTGTTGCATCGCCCACGCGTTCACCGACGCTTGTGTGGGTTTCAATTTACTCTCCTATAAGACTTTATTGAAAATTATTTGAATAATTTCTTTCCTCTGTTTTTAAGATGTAATAATAACGAAAAATTAATATATTAATTTTTTCATTACTTTTTATTGATAATCTCTTTATCCGAAGTGACATTATGTTTGCTAATTCTTTGCTTTTCTGTTAGGAAATTTAGAAGAGAAGCAAACAGAAAAGCTTCGTGCAGCATACATAATTTAAAAAAAAGTTTTTTTCTTGTGTTAGTGTTTTCGTTTCTGGTTACGAAAGAGAAAATGTTTTCCTTCTTTCCATCGAGGTAGCAAATTCAGTCTTTGCTGTGACGCTTTTCGAGTGAAAAGTACAAAAAATTTTACGAGTTAGTTTCACAATTGAGATTTTTCTTCTCCTTATCCTTCTATTTCTTTCTTTTTTGCTCTCACCATAAAGTTCAGATGTCATTTGGTGTTGGCATTCACTCAACTTCTTCTACAGATTGCAAAAAAGAAAAGAAATGACAAATACGAACTGAAAGTATCTGCGCTCATGTTCAATTTTCAAGAGACGGTTGTACAGTGAGGTGGAAACTTTCCATGAGATCAGAAGGATAAAAGAAAAATCTCCTAGCATATGGTTGTTGTTGAACTAACAAAGGCAGATCTCAGCCATTAATTATTTTTCTTTCTTTTACTTTCAAAAGTTCTTTAGTTCTATTTAAATTTTTAAGTTTCAAAGCCATTTTTATGTTTCCATTTTTGCTAAATGAATAAAATAAAATTGTGGAAAAACAGTGAAACAAATAAAAAAAAATAAAAATTCAATAAAAATTTAAAAACTTAGTATGCAAAAAATATGGGATTAATATGGTCAGAAATGGAATAAATTGGTAAGTAAGGAGATGGTTAATTATCATTCAATTTATGTCTCGAAAAATTTTCTAAAAAAATAAAGTTATACGGTGAAAAATTTGAACATATGGAAGCAATTCTGAAACATTACCATAAATCATTAACATAAATTCAGTTTTGCATCATTGTTCCAACAATTAGTATTAAAGCATTCAAGGTTTGAAATTCCTTGGAAGTGTAGAAAATATGTTTGAAGGGAAACTGCGTTTTAGCGAATCTATGAATTCAAAAATGGCGTCACGGTTTTCTGTCTTTGAAAACCTGTTGATGTAAAAACAAAAAAATGAAATAGATTAGTCATATTAAGACTAAAGATAGATATCAAACTTATGTAAAATAATAAGAGTTTTAGTTGACACGAAGAAACAATTATAACGGCATTAAAAGTAAAGCGCAAATATTGACAACATTTCAGAGCCTCGAATATATGGTCATAATGGATTTTTAGTCTCCTAGTCCCTTAATAGCCATCAGCAAACCGACAACTGAAATAAAAACGAATAAGCTTACCTTATAGTGTTAAAAATTCCTTCACAAGAGTATATAAAAAGAAAGAAGGAAACCAAAATGCTTGACATTAGAAAAGCTTCGTTGTGCTTTCACCCAAACCAATTTTATTTTCATCTTCTTTGTGGGCGCCTTGAAAAAAAAAGATATTTCTAGACTCTGATGACGTCAAGGCATGAAGTTGAATATTTTTGGAAAATATTTCCATTATATAGCGCTTTCCTTTCTCCTTTGCGTGGGTGTTATAAAATTTCTTAACAAATATCATCTGACTGAAAGGGTTTCTAATTATATGAATGGAAGTGTATGATTGACAAGGATCATTAAATATAATTCGACATTTTGTGTAGCGAAAATTAAAAGAATAAAGACTCGATCATACAAAGGTATCAAACTTAAAATAAATAAATAGTCAAATATAATAATTTAAAAACTTCAAACTTTTTGAATTAAAAAAGAAAAATAATTTCCTTGGGGTTTTTCTAAATTAAGTAAGAGATGCAAAAAAAGTTCTATGCTTTTTTTAATACAAGGCTCAAATCTATTTATAGCTCAACATCTCTTTTCTTCTGGTTAAGTTCGTAAAATTTTTACCTAAACCAAATATTACTTTTTGTATTGAAGTTATCAAATAAAATGTAATTCTTCTGGCTTTGTACGTACTACTATTAAGGAAACAATTCTAATGAATATTCAAAAAAAAATAGAAAGAATATAAAAAGCATGACACACGCTACCACCAAGCGTATGAATAATATTATTAATATGAAAAAAATGCCGCAAGAGAAATAGATAATAGGGATACTAAGATAACGAAACATTCATCTCGAAAATTTAAATTACTTAGGAACTAAGTATAAAAATGATAATGAGACTTGTGCATAGAATTTTCACATCAATGAATATTTTCTCAAAAAAGATTGCTTAACTTCCTTTCGGCTATCAAACACAAGATTATTAACATTAAACTTTTCAAACCACATCAACTACTCAAGCCAGAAGAATTTTATTTTACTGTAGTGCATTTCAAATTTCCAGAAAGGTTTTCTGATGTCATGCGAGAAATGTTCTATTAAATACTTATTCAAGATCAAAAACAAACTTATTTAGTAATAGATTATTCATCCGATCATAATTTATCCTGTCATATGAAATTTAATGTGTGTATTTTGTCTGAAAAAGACTGTATGTTTACAATAAATATCAATAATTGATCATTTTTTATAGTTACGACCACCAATCAACAATAGACACAATAGTAGACAAACCCCATCAACTTTATTAAATCATAGACCATCATGTCAAATATTGACATTAAGAAATGGATCAGATTATGGAAAGCATTGATGTGTGGAAGTTTCCTGCTAACCATTCTTCAAGATCATCTCAGCTTCGTAGCTGGAGAAGGGAATATTGGTAAGTACATTTTTTCTTACTATTAAGTTTTATTTAATTATTTTGAGCTCATGAACCCATTAAAATAAAAATAGATTTGTCTTTGAACCAGAGAAAAACAAAAACTCATTTTATCATTTAAATAAAGGGTGTGGTAAATTTCAACTAACTTGTTGTTACTACTTTGCGTGTACATATAAATATAAAAGCATTCAACATGCTTATGTAAAATAAAAATAAATATCATATATGAAAGCTTCCATAATATGATACAATTTGTAAAGGATCACATATTTCATTGTGATTAATATTAATAATAATGCCGACATGTTTTTGTTGTTACTCTCGTGTTAAATATTGACATCTAATATTAATTTCTTCCAATAGAAAAAAGCATAATCAAGTTCAGATTTATTTTTTAATATCAAGGTACTGAAAAAAGTTAGAATATGTTATTAATAACAATTATTGTCTATCTTTCTAAGAACTTCAATTATAAAGTCGATTACTAATTACAATTAGATATTTGTTGACATTTCAAGCGATTTGTGATTGACAATACAAAGGATTCAAAATTTGTAATTGATTATTCGCAAGATCAAAAACTGCTAAATTCCAAATTATTCTTCGAAAATATTATAAGTATAATGAAGCGTCAACCCTATTTCCATTATCTCGATTCCTATGAGATTTATGTTCTTTTTAACTAAGCATAAATGTATACAATAGATTAAGAGAAAAAATCGTCTATCATAAACCTGATAAGTGTGATAACAAATCACAAAAAGTTTACTCAACTAACTTTGAGGGAAAATGCCAAGCTATGTTAAATTATTGAGCTAAAAAAGCGAAATATTTGCATGAAAATGTGTAGTGATGATGAAAGATTTATGTTTTAACACATTATAAAGTCTCACGTTGGATTAGATTGTTATGGGTGTTATCAATTTTTAAAATGGCGTCGATAAATACGAGATTTTTTAATATAACACGTATCTAATTCTTCGTAGAAAATGGGTTGAGAAATTATTTATATATTGAGCAGTGATTCGACTTATGTACAATCATATCGAATTTTCATAATCTATTTTTAAATATATAAGCATAAATTATCGATTTATATTTTGTTTACAGAAATTTGATAGTTGAATGAATTAATTGAAAACATTTAGGAGCATTGATGGAAACCTTGATTCATATTCGCCTTTTAAATAGAAAACATCTTATTAATCATAATATTTAAGTGAAAATGGAAAATATCTGTATGACGCATGACTCAAACGCATCTTGATTATTTTCGTTTAGATGCGTCATTACTCTTTATAAAGATCAAATGAACACCTAAAACGAATAAAATGTGACAGAAAATGTTTTTCCGAAATTAATTACATACTTATGTGTGTTTTTTATAAATTAGTCAACTCTTCACTAAACAAAAATGATCTATCTACATCTGATTAAAAGAAAACAAAAAGTTGTTCAATTTACCAGACAAGCAAATTAAAATGCGTATAAAGATTCAAAATAACATATTTTTTCTTAAATAAAATGGGAAATTTTTAGGCTTTTCAGACTGTTTAATTTTATTATTTCTCGACCAGTTTCGAACGCTGTATTGGTTCATCTTCAGGATTCTCTACGATTTAAAATCACAATCAATTACAATTTGTCGGCATATGACAATCGGCATAATTGGTTGTGATTTTAAATCGTAGAGAA